GACCAGAAATTCCGCGACTATGAGGCTGTGTGCCGCGGTATTGAACCGTCGTGGGCAGACAAGAAGCACGTAGTTGACTAACAAGAATAAAAAGAAATTGCACAAAATTATTGGTCCGAGCTGTAAACGTAATAGGATGACTTTGCCGTGGCTTATGCACGAAATGCAAAACATCGATGGTTTAATCACATGGCAAATGGCAACGGTTCATCGTATTCGATAAATTGGAGACGATGTCTCCTACTGTCCTATACTGGTCTGAGACATGGCGTCATTCGTTTATTCGGCCTCGTGATAAGTAGATATTGTTACTTGATATCTACGCCGCAGCTGCTCAAAAACCGCAAGGTAAGAGCACTGGGCAGGGTATCACGGGTGTTGTTATGCCAGCTTCCTTGATACTTTGTATGACTTTGAAAATAAAAAACAAGAAACTCGAAGCTGACTGGTCAGAGAAATCTTCTAGGGTAGGCGGAAGCTGCTACATCATCTATGTACCTACCTATGTACATCGCTGCTGCTGCATGGCGGGGCGGGGGAGAAAAAATAGACAGTCGACCCCACCATGACTCGAGGGGGGGAGCGATACCAACTGATTAGACAGCGATAACGCCAGAGGCGGGGTGATAAGGGGAGATGGCGGGGGGGTGGTCGTAGTCGTCATAACGGGCCAAGACGGCTCTGACGGGACAGAGGAGAAAGCATAAAGAGAGAAAATTCCCTGTAGATGCCAGAGAGGTGGCAGGAGCAGCAGGCCAGGCAGGAGAGAGAGAGCCTAGGCACTACTTGGCGACACATAATATTTTACAGGAATTACCTAACTGACTAACAGATGCATGCATGGGTTCGTGGACAAGGCTGGCGGCGGGCCACTGGCACTGGCAGGACCGTGGGCGCACCGTGGGCCTACCGTGGGACTTATATGTACCGTGGGTCTGGCGACGGTGGTCCGCATGCGTTGTTGCATGCCTGTGATTTTTTTGTGTTTTTGGATCCGGGCACTGGGTGCTGGGCGCTGGGCGCTGGGCAGGCACGGGGCATGGGGCACTAAGCGTCGTTGTTGCTTGAAGCGTCTAGAAGTTTCGCGCTGCAGCCAGCAGGTTACAGGTCGCTGGATTGCGAAGGCACGCCCCTGCCGCGGGGGGGCGTGTGGCTAGGAGGGGTGGCCCGGGTGAGGCTAGCCCGCGCCAGAATTCGACCACAAGATGGCCCTGGGTCCCTCCTTCTCCCACCTTATCCCACCTTATTAGGTAGTCTGTACCTGTCTGTCGTCCTGTAGTGCGATTTGGGCACCTTTTTTTTTCTTCCCTCCTTATTTAAAGAATCTCCCTTCTGCCGTGGTGCTGTGGGCTGTGAACTACTACCCATCTAGTAGAACACATTCAACGCAACTGCAGACCACTGGTTTCACAGTCCTCTCCGACGCCCCCCCGACTTCCCGACCTTCTCCCACTCACCGCCGCGACTGGTTCCTTTTCGGATTGCTCTGTTTGCTGCCTCGCTCGCCAGAAGAGCCCGTCTGCACCGATTCTCAACAGAGGACGGCATCCAGCCATCTGCGAATCCACTCCCACTCCTATACCCTCTCTCCCGCCTGTTCACATTCCCCTCAGACATCATGAGTGTCGTTGGTATGTTTCCCCGCTCGGGCACCCCAGACCGATAGACACCAGACGCCAGACGCCAGACGCCAACTCCGGCGCATTTGTTGTCGTGTTTTGTTTTGTTGTTGTGGTGGTGTTATGTTGTGTTGCGTTGTGCTGTGTTCTGCCTGCTAACCCCGCGGTGCCATCCAGGTATTGATTTCGGAACCCTCAACACAGTTATTGCTGTAGCGAGAAATCGAGGTGTCGATGTCGTACGTCACCCCCCCTCTCTCCTCGTCCGTTTTATATTAGCACGGCCCCGTTCACAAGGCTGACTTGTCGTTGGTTGATTAGATCACCAATGAAGTGTCTAACCGTGCGACCCCGTAAGTGTCACCCACTTGACTGACGATCGATCGTCTCCACTAACGTCCGTCTCAGCTCCCTCGTAGGATTCGGCCCCAAGTCTCGCTACCTGGGTGAGCCGGCCAAGACACAAGAGATCTCGAATCTCAAGAACACCGTCGGTTCCCTAAAACGTCTTGCCGGCCGTGCTCTCAAAGACCCCGAGGTTCAGATCGAGCAGCAATATGTCTCGGCCGCCCTCGTAGACTGCAACGGCCAGGTCGGCGCCGAGGTCTCGTACCAAGGCAAGAAGGAGAAGTTCACGGCGACACAGCTTGTTGCTATGTTCCTGAGCAAAATAAAGCACACTGCTGCCACTGAGCTCAAGCTGCCCGTGGCTGATGTGGTCGTGAGCGTGCCGCCGTGGTTCACCGACGTCCAGCGACGAAGTATTCTCGACGCTGCCGAGATCGCTGGTCTCAAGCCGCTCCGGATTATGAACGATACTACCGCCGCCGCCTTGGGCTACGGTATCACGAAGCTTGATTTGCCCGCCGAGAACGAGAAGCCTCGTCGTGTCGCATTCATTGACATCGGCCACAGCAACTACTCTTGCTCCATTGTCGAGTTCAAGAAGGGTGAGCTGACCGTTAGGTCGACCGCCTTCGACCGCCACTTTGGTGGTCGTGATTTCAACTTGGCTCTAGTCAACCACTTCGCAAAGGAGTTCAAGGGCAAGTACCGGATTGATATCACAACCAATCCCAAGGCCACAGCCCGTGTCGAGGCCGCTGCCGAGAAGCTTAAGAAAATCCTGTCCGCTAATCAGCAAGCCCCGTTAAACATTGAGTCACTTATGAATGACATTGACGTGAATGCTATGGTCACGCGGCAAGAATTCGAGGCCCTCGTCGAGCCTCTTCTCAACCGTGTCACTGTGCCGTTGGAGCAGGCGCTTGCCGATGCCAAGCTAACTAAAGATGACATTGACTTCATTGAATTGGTTGGTGGTAGCACCCGTGTGCCGTCCATCAAGGAAAGAATCCAAAGCTTCTTTGACAAGGGCCTTTCATTCACTCTCAACCAAGATGAGGCTATTGCTCGGGGCTGTGCCTTCGCTTGTGCCATCTTGTCCCCTGTCTTTAAGGTCCGCGATTTCTCCGTCGCGGACATCGTCCACTACCCAATTGAATTCTCATGGGAGAAAGATGTGGATATCCCCGATGAGGATACCAGCTTGACTGTATTTAACAGAGGCAATGTCCTACCTTCCACTAAGATTCTTACATTTTACCGGAAACAGCCTTTTGATTTGGAGGCACGGTACTCGAAGCCCGAGGACCTCCCCGGCAAGATTTCCCCCTTCATTGGCCGTTTCTCCGTTAAGGGAGTGAAGGCCGACCCCAAGACCGAATTCATGATCTGCAAACTCAAGGCTAGGGTTAATATCCATGGTATCTTGAATGTAGAAAGTGGTTATTACGTCGAAGACCAGGAAGTCGAGGAGGAGATCAAGGATGAGAAGACAGAAGACGGCGAAAAGAAAGACCCTGATGTGAGTCTTGCCTCTTAATGACTTTTACTTACCCAATAGGCAATCTCGTAACATGGCTTTTACTGACCGGTTTCCCCTAGGCTATGGACACCGATGATAAGAAGGCGGAGGGTAAGCCTAAGACACGAAAGGTGAAGAAGCAAGTTCGCAAGGGCGAACTACCCATTGTTGCTGGAACCACTTCCCTCGACCCGAACACCAAGAACAGCCTGTTTGAGAAAGAGGCGGCCATGATTATGGAGGATAAACTAGTAGCCGATACAGAGGAAAAGAAGAACGAACTCGAGACTTACATTTATGACATGCGTAACAAGCTAGACGACCAGTACGCCGACTTCGCTAGTGAGGAGGAGAAGGACAAGCTGAGATCCAAGCTCACCGAAAGCGAGGTATGTTTTCCAAGTTTTCTATGGTATTGATATGGTGTGGCTGACTCTTGACAGGATTGGTTGTACGAAGATGGCGAGGATACCACTAAGGCTGTGTACATCGCCAAGATAGACGAAATCCGATCCATGGCTGGTCCCATTACCCAACGGTACTTCGACAAGGTCGAGACTGACCGCCAGGCGTTACAAGCTAAGCTGGACGCTGACGCGGCGGCAAAGAAGGCGGTCGAGGACGAATCCCGCAAGACAGCCGAGCCGGAGAAGGGCGATGGTAACAAGGACGAGGAGATGACGGATGCGGAACCCGCCAAGCCGGAGGTCGAAGAGTCAGAGTCTTAGAAGTATTTGCCCGGCCGAAAATCGCTAGGCAGGGGATGCGGTGTACTGAATGATAATATGACACCGACGGGAAGATTTAAAAAGTAATGACTGCAATGAAGCCGCCCAGGACTGGATGGGAACGATGGACTTGGGAAGATATCTCGTCCGATCCCGACGGGATATGGCGGTGTTAGAGAGATAGATTACGGCCGCCTAATCTGTACACGCACGAGATGGGCTGTTGTTGACTTGAGATAGACTTTATCCAGATATGGTATACTCATGATTTTGGCCAATACTTTCATTGCTTTCATTGTTGTGGTATTGAGTAAAAAGGTGATGCCAAGTGAAGTTGTTCTTAATAACAGTATGTTCATTCTGTATAATAGTTGTAAAATTGATTATTACAGATGAAGCTGTGACCAAAAAGAGTAGATCAATATGTAGTACCAGAGCAATATTTTATAAAGTTCAAAGAGAATATAATATAGTTTGAGAGTTTCACAACATGGTCCCTGGCATACTTAATAGAAGAACTTTCTACTGTAGGTAAGAACATAATAGTCTTCACGTAACACCTGCAAATCCATCCACATATAGACACACCCACACCTACACGCACGGACTTGTTACACACAGAAAGAAATTACTTACTATCCACCCAACCGAATGTTTCCAGACCGCTTAACCTAGCGGCCCCATGCAAGTAGCCCCTCCATGGAGGTCCCTCTCTCCCTCCCTCTCTCCCCCTTTCCCGTCGAGTCATAGGCGCCCCGAGAGTGCCAACAGCACCAATCAATCCGCGGCCTCGTGGCCTAATGGCATGGCGTCAGATTTCGGTTATCCCAAGTTAAAGAATTGAGATAATTCAGTACTCTGAAGATTGTCGGTTCGAATCCGGCCGAGGTCGTCCGTCCGAATTGGTGTAGTGGCTAACATTTGACGCTCTCAATTGTAGTGTCTTCCTGCCTGTCTTGTGATCAAGACTACAGGAGGAACAGTGCAGCGCCGTCAAGCCCGGGGTTCGATTCCCCGATTCGGAGTCTTTTTTTTTTTTAGTCTTGTCTTTTTTTATACATAGTATGTATGATATATAATATACTGCTGCTTGCTATTTGTCTCCAGTTAGATATTTTGCTCTTGTTGGTTGTCTTTCTGGTTGGAGGGGTATACGGGTCTCTTCAAGGTGATGGAATGTGGGACGGTTGAGATAAGAGGTCCATTCATTGCAAGGTAAATGCTTGGATGCCTATCGATAGCAGATAAGAGATCCATACCCTCGCTTAAATTCTTATCCAACCCCGGCCCCTCCGACTTCTATTGCTATTTCTGGGCAAACAATTGAATTGAATAAAGGACTGAAGGGTTCCAACTGGGGCTCAACAGACAGCTCACAAAATTATTTTACCGACTTGAAAGAAACTGTGCAACTCCCCGCAGCGTCATTCATAGTGGTTAAGCCGGCTGGCCGCCTCTGACCTTCCCACTTCCCAAACCCACATCCACACCCACATCCACACCCACATCCACATGGACCCGCTCCACTGCCAAATACTACATAGATAGTAGCAAATACTATCTAAATTAGACCCTACCTGCTAACCCTCTCACCATCCAGTGAGCGAAAGAGCTGGAGACGGTTCTTTTTTTTTTTTTTTTTTTTTTTTCTTTTTTTCCCACCTGCAATTTCTTGCGCCTTCGGAGATAAGCCCACGAGAGCGTGCCATGTCTTGGAATTTCCCGGGACGTGACTCTGGATTAGACCCGTTACCCGATCTCTCCTCAGCCGTCTAAACATCGCAGGCATCGCACCTCTTCACCCCACCTCGCCTCGATCTGCCCGGCTACTCGCAGATAACCCCGCGACCACGGCCCGGCTACAGACACCGACACTGACACTGACACTGACACTGACACTGACACTGACACTGACACGGGCATAGACACAGACATCTTCTGTCAGTCACAGCCAGTTATCAGTCATCAGTCATCAGTCATCAGTCACCAGTCACCAGTCAACAGTCAACTTCGCTGCGTTTCGCTACGTAGCAACTCCCCCCCCCCTCACCACCGTCAACAACATCTGCCTGTGACTGTGACTGTGACCCCGCCAGACCACCACCACGATGGCTCCTAAGAAGAAGGGAGGGAAGAAGGCCGCCGACGACTGGGAAGCCGACCTTGGGGAGTCCATTGCACCCACAAATGGTGACGCCTCTGCTGCCGCCGATGCCCCCGAGGAACAGGCCGAGGACGGCGATGCGCCCGTCGGTGGCCTCATGGCCATGATGAAGAAGAACCGAGAGAAGCGCAAGAAGAAGGGTTTGTCCGAGAACTTTGTTGACGGCGACTCTGCCCAGCCCGCAACCCCGGAGCCCACCGACATCAGCGCCTTCAAGCCACCCCAAGAAGCCTCGGCCGAGGACGAGTTTGCTGAGCCAGAAAAGAAGGGGAAGGGAGGGAAGCAGAACAAGAACCAACCTGCTGCCAAGGCTCCCGCCGCCGCCGCCGCCGCTGCTGGTGCTGATGAAGATGATGCCGGTGACGGTAGGATACTGACCAAGGCTGAAAAGGAAAAGCTGAAGAAAGAGAGAGAGAAGCAGAGGAAAAAGGAACAGGTCGGTACTGTCGCACATCTAGAATGATTCCAAGTCCTAACAGTTGCTGTCTCGTCTAGGCTGCGAAGAAGAAGACCACCACACCTGCGCCTGCTGCTAAAGCCGCAGAACCCGCCAAACCCGCCGTCGAGGAGAAGAAAGAGGCACCGGCCCCGGTACCCGCCGCAGACGCCTCAGCGAAAAAGGGCAAAAAGGTTCCGGCACATCTAGCCGCCCTCCAGAAGCAACAGGAGGCGTTACGGCGGCAACGTGAAGAAGCTGAAGAAGCTGCCGAGGCCGAGAAAGCTCGTATTAAGGCGCTAGAGAAGCAGGAAGCTGAAGAGAACAAGCGGAAGGAAGAAGAGAAGGCCCGCAAAAAGCAGAAGGAAAAGGAGAAGATCGAGCAGCTCAAGAAGGAAGGAAAGTATCTCACCAAGGCCCAAAAGGAAGAAAAGGCTCGTAATGAGAGGAAGCTGCAGCAGATGATTGCCGCTGGTCTCCAGGTCGGACCGTCGGAAGATGGCGAGGAGAAGAAGAAGAAGGTCACATACGACAACAAAAAACGAGGCAAGAAGAATGACCAGAAGGTTGTCCTCCATTCGCAGTAACTTACATACGTGTTGTTCTTGCTAACCTCTCGTAGGTGGATGAAGAGAAAGCGTTAGCTGAAGCCGCTGAGCGGGCTAGAATACAAGCTGAAGCCGCCGCTAAGGAGGCCGAGGCCAAGGCTGCTGAAGAGGCCGCTGCGAAAGCTGCTGCTGAAGCCGCTGCCAAGAAGGCTCAGGCAGAAGAGGAGGTCGACGATGATTGGGAGGCTGCCGCCGCTTCGGATAACGATGTCAAGGACAGCTGGGACGCTGATTCAGACGAGGAGGCCGAAAAGAAAGCTGCTGCTAAGGGCATACCTTCACGGCCGAAGGCCGCTGCACCAGGCTCTGACTCTGAATCAGAAGAGGAATCATCTGAAGATGAGGAGACAACAGCTGCTCGAGCTGCAGAGCTCAAGCGAAAGAAGGAGGCTGCCGAGCGGAGAGAAAAAGCGCACCAGGCTGCCCTGGCTGCCAGATCTAAAGAAAACCTTCGAAGTCCTATCTGCTGTATCTTGGGTCACGTCGATACTGGAAAGACCAAACTGCTGGATAAGATTCGACAAACAAATGTCCAGGAGGGAGAAGCGGGTGGTATCACACAGCAGATTGGTGCTACATACTTCCCAGGTTTGTCATCATGCCGTCCCTACGGTGGAGATCAGCTACTAACATTCGTTTGCCAGGTGAGGCTATCAAGCAGAAGACTGCGGTTGTAAACCAGGATGGAAAGTTCGAATTGAAGGTCCCGGGTCTTTTGATTATCGATACGCCTGGTCACGAGTCTTTCTCCAACTTGCGTTCCAGAGGTTCCTCGCTTTGTAACATCGCCATTCTGGTTGTCGACATCATGCACGGTCTCGAGCCTCAGACGCTCGAATCAATGAAGCTGCTTCGTGACCGAAAGACACCTTTCATTGTGGCACTCAACAAGATCGATCGTCTATACGGCTGGAAGAAGGTAGACAACAATGGGTTCCAAGAGAGTTTGGCTCTTCAAAGCCGAGGTGTGCAGAACGAATTCAAGAACCGGTTGGAGCAGACCAAACTTGCCTTTTCCGAACAAGGGTTCAACGCCGAGGTATTCTACGAGAATAAGTCAATGGCCCGATACGTTTCATTGGTCCCAACCTCCGCTCATACCGGCGAGGGTATCCCGGATATGTTGAAACTCATTCTGCAGTTGACTCAGGAAAGGATGGTTGGCTCACTCATGTATCTTTCCGAGGTTCAGGCCACTGTCCTTGAAGTGAAGGCGATCGAAGGTTTTGGTATGACCATCGATGTCATCTTGTCGAACGGTATTCTTCGGGAAGGAGACCGGATAGTCGTTTGTGGTGTTGAAGGGGCCATCACTACAAATATTCGGGCGTTGCTTACTCCAGCTGTCATGAAAGAATTGCGTGTCAAATCTCAATATGTACACAACAAGGAGGTGAAGGCAGCCATGGGTGTCAAGATTAGTGCACCTGGTCTAGAGGGCGCTATTGCTGGTTCGCGATTGCTTGTGGTTGGACCTGATGACGATGAAGAAGACCTAGAAGAAGAAGTTGAGGCAGATTTGAACAAGCTGTTCAGTCGGGTGTCTACATCGGGAAGAGGTGTCAGCGTACAAGCGTCCACTCTTGGTTCTCTCGAAGCCCTTCTCGACTTCTTGAAGGATTGCAAGATTCCCGTGGCCAATGTGGGTATCGGCCCGGTATTCAAGCGTGATGTGATGCAGTGCGGTACTATGTTGGAAAAGAGCCCCGACTTTGCTGTCATGCTATGTTTCGATGTAAAGGTGGATAAGGAAGCTCAAGCGTACGCCGATGAGAACGGCATCAAGATCTTCACGGCCGACATCATTTACCACTTGTTCGACTCCTTCAAGAAGCACATGGACGAACAGCTCGAGAGGAAGAAGGAGGAGTCGAAGTTGCTCGCCGTCTTCCCCTGTGTCCTCAACACCGTGGCCGTATTCAACAAGACTAACCCTATCGTCGTGGGTGTCGATGTGGTGGATGGTAACCTCCGTGTCGGCACGCCGATAGCTGCCATCAAACAGAACCCTGCAACAGGTGCTAAGGAGGTGGTGAGCTTGGGGCGAGTGTAAGTTGACTATCCTTTCATGCGAGCTAAGACCGTCCGTGTTTTTTAATCTCCTGTTCATTTCATTGACGAGTTTCACAGATCATCGATCGAAAGAGATCACAAGCAGATCCCCATCTGCAAGAAGGGACAGCCCTCGGTGGCAGTCAAGATTGAAATGGGCGGGCACCAGCCGACATACGGCCGACAGCTCGAGGAGTCGGATACACTGTATAGCTTAATCTCGCGTGCCAGTATCGACTGTCTGAAGGAGTTCTACCGGAAAGATGTCACGAACGACGAGTGGTCGCTTATCATTAAACTCAAGCCGCTGTTCGACATTAACTAAGGGTAGGTGGGACGGTCAGTAAGAAAAGACGGCCGGGGTGCAATGGGGAAAAAGGGCATGCTTGCATCGTGGTTAACTGAGCACCTGTGTTGCTGGTTGCTTGGTTGGTGGACGGAACCCTGGGTATCTGGAGGTAAGATAACTCTTACCTACTTGTATGTATTTATGAATGAGCGGATGAAATCGGTAAAATGAATGGTTTATGGGTAGTTTTAATGGAGTTTATCATGTTACTACTTGCTACTGCTTTATCTGGTTGATAAGTGTAATGGGAGGCTGTCCGCATGGTTGGCGATTCAGAAGACGGGACACGGCACATTTCCGACCAAGCCGCGCGAGAGAGTATTATCGCAGCAAGCGTCTCTTAGCCATTCCCCGTTCCAGAAAAGCGAATCATCACGACCTACCGGGCCTCATGGACTTAAAAAGCCAACAAACAT